AGATGTTTTTGTTCCTTCTCTTCCTGTTTGTTTCTCTGTACTTTTATTGTCTTACAATAGACCACATGATACATTTCCTCAGCTGGATGAGACTCAATCCATGGTTTTTCAATAGTTTCTTGTCTAAATTAGATAATAACTATTGGTTTGCCTTTATTTCCACTAATCCTATTTTTCTGAAGTATTCAATCTGATATTTTTCCCACCCAATGAACCTTTTGTTTTTCTTATTATATTTATTCATTCTTTAACCTGCCTCTTTTTAATAGTTTTCATTTGTCTTCTGAGGTTCTGTATCTATACAGCCATTGTATCTATTTCTTTAAACCCTTAAATGTCCATATCATAGGTCATATGAAGTCTTTGTCTTTGACTTAACATTTGATTAAGGATTATTTCTGTTCCTTTTTTTCTTGATTGTGGCTCACATTTGCAGGAATTTTCACAAATTATTCTGGGTATTATTAATAACAAGTTTTACAGAATCTATAACAGATTGCCTTTATATAAAAGGTAGTGAGTTCTGTCATACTGAGCCACTGAATTATAGGAAGATTATTTTTTCTCCATTTAGGTTTGGTTCAATTCTCTGGTAAGCCAAGTCTACTTTGACTTCGAACTTTTCTTTTTTTTTTTTTTTTTTTCCAAGTGAACCTGACTCTTACTTTATTTCTGCAATCCCAGCTGAAGCCTGAGGTACTCGATGGGTGCCCTCCACTCCGGCTAGGATTTAGCTCCAATGTATTTTAGTAGTACTTCATCTCTGCTTTCATGGCTCAGCTCTCAACTCTAGGGGAGGAAATCTCTAGCAGGCCTTGTGGAATGTTCCTCTATGGAAATGAGACCTTGTCCAACAACTCATGCTGAATCCTCACACACACTCCTGCCATTCTTAGTCCAGCTCCCTTTCCTCTCTACCCTACACTGCAAATTCCAAGCAATTTAGCATCCCAAACTTTCCGCACTGATGCTGGCCTTTTGAGACTTCGATTCTGCTGGACTCTACTTACGTTTCTGATGGCAGGAAAATGCTTCCAAGCAGAAAGTCAAGAAGGTCATAGAGGTCACATTGAGGTTTTCCTTCTCTTAAGGATGCTGTGTCTAGTTCAATGGGAGGAAGTAGTTGCCTTATATAATGTACATAATTTTTATAATTACTTATCGTGGGATGTAGGTACAGCACTGGCTTCTCTGTCATTGTTGAAGGTACAAAATCCTACCATTTTACCAAAACTGCTGCTGGTAAGGCAGGTGGAGGGTGGTCAGGAAGGCAGGAGGATAGAGCCAGCAAAGAGCCAGTGGAGGGGTTTTTAAACAGGTGCCATCTATACATTACAAAAATAGAGGAACTTCAGGCATCAAGATAGACACTTGGGGAGAAGCTTTGTAGAAAACAACAAAATCTGAATAGAATTTGGAATCTTTCCTTTGTCTGCCTTTAATTTCTAGCAAATATCTACCCAGATACAAAAATAAGTTAGAATAAAAACCAAAAAAAAAAGCCAGGAATTATGAAGAGTTGCAAAAAATAAAGAATGAATGTAAACCAAATTCTAGTGAAGAATATATGTTATGTAAGGATAAATATATCAAGAATTAAGAGAAAAGTATTGTGTTTTCAAGATGAAAATATAGAAATTTCATACTTTAATTTGTTCTTATAAAATATCTAAAGAGCTAAAGCTTTTCACTGTTTTATAAGACAATAGATCTAGATGAAAAGCAAGCCAAAAAAGATTAGGAAATAAGTGAAGCAGAAAACTGAATTAAAGCTTTTGATTAACTTTTCCCCACCCAACTCACAAACAGAATAAACATAATTGAGTGTCATAAAGAACAGGTGTGAAAAAATGAAAAAGAACACAAAGCTTATAGAGAAAATGTTAAATGTAGAGGCAAATGAGACACAATAGAACATAGTTAGTGCTCCTAAACAAAATAAATGGAGGAGGAAAAGTAAAGACACTGGGAAAGAAACCTTCCTGGAATAACAAAAGTCTAAGAATAGCAGTTGGAAATAGCTACCCAGATATGAGATGCTAAACATTGTGAATGTCAATGTTTGTAAAAGAAATACAATAGCTCTTGGCTTCCACAAAGAAGTTTGGGCAGGAGGGGAGGAGAGGGTGGGTTGACATTACACTTTGCCAGTGATATGCCAGTGAAACATTTCTCCAAAGATATTTGAGGAGAAGTACAACCAGTCAAAATGGGTGTAGAATGCTGTATAACTGTGAAACTGTATACAAGTACAGATGCTGAGGATTAATTTAAATTTAAGTATATTTTATTTTATTTATTTTTTTGACAGGCAGAGTTAGACAGTGAGAGAGAGAGAGAGACAGAGAGAAAGGTCTTCCTTTTCCGTTGGTTCACCCCCCAGTTGCCGCTACGGCTGGTGCACTGCGCAGATCCAAAGCCAGCAGCCCATTGCTTCCTCCTGGCCTCCCATGCGGGTGCAGGGCCCAAGCACTTGGGTCATCCTCCACTGCACTCCTGGACCACAGCAGAGAGCTGGACTGGAAAAGAAGCAACCGGGACAGAATCCGGCACCCCAACCGGGACTAGAACCCCGGATGCCGGTGCCACAGGCAGAGGATTAGCCAAGTGAGCAGTGCTGCCAGCCAATTTAAGTATATTTTAAATAAACACTAAGAGGGTGGGAAGGGAGATAATAAACAACTATGGTATTTGTGATTGCATATCAAAATATGTATGACTTTTTTATATTCTAAAATTAATAATAATTGTTGAAGTTAGGAGATAATTAAAAAGAAAGTAAGAAGAAATATAAATTTGTGTTTTCTTTATCATTTTAATTTCTAGAGAAGAAAATATTATAAAATAGCATGCTTAATTTTAATATTTTCTTAATTTAAAATATATTGTACAGAGTTATATTTCCTGTGAGAAAATATTAATTTTCAGTAATGGCTTTAATTATATTTTATGGCTAAATTCCATGTAATTTAATGGTTTACTATTTTAATTTAATAAGTATATAATTATCATATTTTATGATCTCTCTCTCTCCTCCTTCCCTATCCCTCCATAGAACTCTAAGATGATTATTTAACAATAATGTTCTTTGTAATATAAACTTATAATGCAGATATCGTATTTTTTATAATCATTAGCAGATGAAAATTCTACAGAAAATAGTAATTTTATAAAAAATAGTTTGTGTCTTAGCATCCCACCCCCCCAAAAAAATTGTCACAAATAACATGTACATCTGTAAATATTCAATATGTTGGCACGTAACATAGTTCAGCAATGTTTTTCATTAAAGGCCATGTATTAGCTTAGGCTGTGACTATATTATCTCTGTTTTAATTATCGCAACTCGGCTTCAGTAGTGAGAAGACATCAATAATCAATGTGTAAAGAAATTGGATGCTCCAATGAAACCTTATTTACAAAAGTAAGCGATGGTTTATTGGTGAACCACAGTATATATCATAACTTTGTCAACTTTAATAATCAAATATTGTCAGTCTTCCTCAGAAATATTGAAGTAAAGGAACTAACAAAATACCTCTAATGAATGAATTTATTGATTTTGCTCCTTTGCAGATATTATTTCATCGCATAACCTTAATGTGTAAAGAGGAATGTTGCTCGGTAACCCCACGTACATGTTCGCATACACAGAAATTGTGTCTCTTGTTTTCTCAAAATAGGCCAAAATTGAGTATACGTTGCTCCTTACAATTCTTAGACACCATGCTTGAGTTGACTTCTCTCCTTCCATTTTACATTTACAGCCTTGGTTAGTGAATCTCAGAATATTGGAGCTGGACTGAATTTCTAAGTGTATCAAATTAAATAATTTCCTTTACACAAGAAGGGAATCTGCCACTGAGATGAAATGACTTATCTACAGTTCTTACACTAGCTCTTGTCATAGCCAGCACCGGAATCCAGTCTGCTGGCTCCCATTGTAGCATGGTGCCCTCTTCCCCACACTGGAGCATATGTATGGGTGCAACTTAAGCTACTCTCAGCCAGTCAGAGATTAAATGATGATCAAATGAGGAATGCACATATAGTTGCTCCTCTGCTCTTAGCACTTATTTGTTTTTCTATTTCTATTCTTTATTTAAAAATGCATTTATAAATAATGTTATTTAAAAATAACCAATCTTTACAAATGAGGAATAATTCTGTTTTTGTATGCTTTGTTTCACTAAGAAACATCCCTTTGATAAAATGGCAAAAGGCAAAGCTATAGATATCTTTCCTTCTCAGTCATTTCTAATAGTTTGGATCAGAATGACCTGGAGAGCTTGGTACAACACAGATTGTTGGGCTTTACTCCAGAGTTTCTGATTCAGCATGCTAGTGATGAAGCCACAGAATTTGCATTCTGAACAAACTATCAAGTGATGCTGATACTATTAGTCCTGGAAAAAAAAAAAAAGAACTTTGAAAATCACTGATTTGGATTCTCAGCCTTAAAGGCAAATTACAATTACCTGGAGAGATGTGAATACACAGGCTCCACTCCAGATCAATTGAAATAGAATATATGAGACTAGAGACTGGGTGTTGGTAGTGTCTTAAATTGTCTCAGATGGTTATAATTTACAGCCAAGACTTACACAAAGAAAAATAATGACCTAAAAATATTCATTTGAATTTTCAGATTAGAACATTTTCTTTGCTTAATGTATTCCTTTATTAGGTTAGTACAATTGTTATGCAATCATTTCATAATATAGAATAAAGGAGATAATATAAAGATGACTTTACCGAGTGATTCTATAAATTGAACATAAATCAAACTCAGTCCATTTTGTGGTACTAATTCTATAAAGTGCTTAGAAGATAAAATATTAGAGAATTTTCCTTTTAAAATGTTATTATAAAAGTTTTGTCATTTGTAAAATTACTTTATGCCTCTGATCCTTAAATTATCTTTATTAACATTGTATAGAAGGCACTGAGCATTTCGATACTAAGTTCTAAAACATCAGTTCTGATTTCTCTCTATACAGTGAAAGATGCAGAGGTACTTTGTATGGACATACAGATTCTGTGAACAGCATTGAGTTTTTCCCTTTCTCCAACACTCTTCTTACGGCTTCTGCAGACAAGTCCCTGTCTGTATGGGATGCAAGAACGGTAAGCAAATGATCTGCACTTAACCATATCTTTTAGATCTGATTAATCTTAGTCATTCTTCCATATTGATTTCAACTTAGATAGTGATTGTGCAAATTCATATAGGGTAGAATAATGGTAATAGCTTTCTAACTCCAAGATCCTGTCTATGTGCTCCTATTTATCCTACCTCACAAATACTAGCACACAAAAATCATATTGCTTCTTTAAACATTAATTCAACAATTACTTTTTGAGATAGAAACTCTGCTGTTGCAGTGATGCAAAATGGAAACATATCATGCCTCTGCATACGAACTTTGTAGTTTGGCAAAAACAGAAATGAGATCATTTGAGTGAAATGAAGTATGCATTTAAATGTAAGAATATGCGGGCACAGGATAAAGCAAGGAAAACTGGTCATTTGCTGGAAGAGTGTGGTTAGATTCCAAGGGAGGCTAAGCTTGAACTACTAGGAGAATACCTAGAATACCCCCTGAAGTTTGGAGAGGGGTGAATTCTAGGAAAGAGCAGTGCATATGCAAAGTCACAGAGGTTTGACTCTGCAATGGCGCATCTTTATAGTAATAATATATACAGACGAACCTTAAGAAAGAAGTGTATACAGATAGACAAGGACAAGATCATGAAGGAGCTATTTCAAACTGTTTCACAGAGAATCTATTCAAGAGTGTTCAGCAAATATGGTAATGAAATATATTTGCCTTGTAGAAATATTGCTGTGATTGTTAGTAAGGGAATCATTCTCAAGTTAAAGCCATTAGAATTGAATATGAATGGATGAGAATTTGACCTGGCAAATTATGTATGAGGATGGGAAAGAGAGAATGGATTAAAGAAAGGAAGTTTACAAGAATCTGAAGAGTGGAGGCAGATATTATGGAAAGAGAGTTTAAAATGAATGACTGTCCCCTTTTGTTTTATACTGAGAATCTTCCTGAGTCATGAGAATTTCAGAGCTAAAATTGGATAGCCCTGTATTATTATGTCTTCAAGAGTGAATTTGATATGAAGAAATGGACACATAATGTGGATACTGTACTTTCAAATAGTTGGCTGTGAAGATGAATGGGAGAAAAGACTGTAGCTCTAAGTTCAGCTAAAGCATCTTTCTTTGTTTAGATAGGAGACAACGTGTTGATTAGCTTGGGGATATGAGCAGGGCGAGAAGAAGGAATTAAAAAAACAGAGTAGAGAGAAGAGACAACATAGAAATGTACTGGGCATAGGTTTTCATAATTTAAAAAATGCCAAGATCTGCAATACAAGGTTTCAGTACTCTTCTTAGCAACATTCAATGAAGATTATGAAGAAATAAAATTCTAGCTATACAAGAAAAGAGTACATAGCCCTAGTTTCTGATTCCTGGCTGATAAGGAAGAAAAAGTTATAATTTCCATTTATCTCCCTATATGTGAAATATGATCAACATAAAAAAATATGATGGTGAACATACTGATGGTGTGAAGAGGGATGGAAGTTCAATATGTGAGGCACTATTAAGTTCTCTAATGCAAACTTAACTTAGGTTCAATGGAGCACAAGGCATCCTCAGCTCCATATATTATAAAAAAAAGCTAATGATAAAATTTCCTGTCAGTTTCTGACTTCTCATGTTGCAGAAGTTAAGGCGGCATTGTGGGAAAAGCGTATGAGATATGACTTAAAATAAAATTAGAATGATTTGTTGTCAAAAACAAACGTCCCTCTCCCTCCTTGTTTTAAAATAGCTCTGAATCTGATGTGACGTGGTTCATTCCTACTAATGAAGCATCAGTGGAGAAGTAAAATTTTCAACACATTTAGCCCTTTAAACTTAAATGTGAAGTGCATATAAAAGCAATTGGTAGCAGCAAAACCCATAGAGGAAGTATTAATTTAGCAGTGACCTAAATTTTGTGCTCATTTTCTGTTGACATCAGGTTTTCTCTCTCTCTCAAGCTGTAACTAGATGTTCTCAGAAAATATGTTTCTTATTTACTTTCTCTCATGTGAACTGAAGCACTAATGCTTGGAAGGAACACTGCTCTAATTAAGAAAAGTTGCCCCTCGTATATCTGCCAGAAATGCATAGAGTTATTTATTGGTGGTGACCTTGTTGTCTGATGCTGCAAGCTCTTTGTGTACTGTTCTTATTCCCCTTAGTGTCCGGGGGAAAAAAGAGGTAAAAAAAAATTTAACACAACACGGTGCCTCTTACATAGAAATACCATTGCATGTGGATTGAACGTAAGAGCAAACAAAATTTTTAGTAGTCTTAATGGTATGAGTTCAATTAGTAGAAATATTTTGAAATTGACTTAATGGCAAACAAATTTATACCACTATTATTGTAATTTTATTATTTGTACTGATAATAGCAAATGGGCTCTAACATATTTTTGTGTAAATACTATTCATAAGTGCATGAAAAATACATTGTATATTAGAAATAAAATATATTAAGTGAATTTATTGTTGGAAATATTTTAAAAAAATAAACTTATGGGTACATATTATGGAAAACTAACATACAAAGCAAGGGTAAATTCACTGAACATAATTAATAATTAAATAGTATAAGTTTTAATGTAAAATATTGATATAATCAACAAATAAAATATGACAGCTCTAGAATTAAACAGAATCCTTTCACTAAAGTTACATTTGGCAGTTCTAGTGATACTGTTTCAGATGTTACTGATTTAAAAAACAAAAAAAACCCAGAAAACTTTGAATTACTTTGATTTTTAAAAAATTCATGTTATATATGTTTTTTTAAATGTATATGTTGCCGGCTGGCACTGTGGCGCACTAGGCTAATCCTCCGCCTTGCTGCGCTGGCACACCAGGTCTAGTCCCAGTCGGGGCACCGGATTCTGTCCCGGTTGCCCCTCTTCCAGGCCAGCTCTCTGCTGTGGCCAGGGAGTGCAGTGGAGGATGGCCCAAGTGCTTGGGCCCTGCACCCCATGGGAGACCAGGATAAGTACCTGGCTCCTGCCATCGGATCAGCGCGGTGCGCCGGCCGCAGCGCGCCTGCTGCAGCGGCCATTGGAGGGTGAACCAACGGCAAAGGAAGACCTTTCTCTCTGTCTCTCTCTCTCACTGTCCACTCTGCCTGTCAAAAAAAAAAGTATATGCTGCCTACATAATATGGAATTGTAAGTTGTTTCTTATAATGGTTCATTAAGAAGTTAGAATTAGTTTATATTTGTAGTTGAATATTATGATATGCTGAAAAGGATAATCACATAGCTGTAAGTTTTTCTGTGTAATAGTAGCAACTGTGTAACAGTGATGTAAATAACATTATCTAACTTGCAGCATCAGCTGCATCCATGGTATACTGGTGTAATTCCTTATAATTTTTAAAATGTTAATATCTCAATAAATTATAGGTTGTCTGGTTATACTGAAGTTCTGAACATAACAGAAGATGAACAACTTCCATATTTGTAAAGTGATAATGGTACATTTTAACGTCACAATGTGATCAATTACTAGTGAGACAACCTCTGAAATATTTTTTGGTGAAATGTGAAAGTGACCAGTGGATTATATTGCTATAAATTAGTTTTAAACTTCCTTCTACCACTGTCAAACATATACTAGTCTTAAATCTTTAACCTAATCTAACAGTTTATTGTCAATGATAATGAATGTGTGGACCTCTAAGTCAGTCTCTAAGTCAACTGGACAGATCAGCTCTGAATTTTGTGGAGGAAGGGGAGAGGAATATAAATCTTTATAATTACCAAAGGGAGGCTATAAAACAGCTTGCTTTTGGGGAACTCATGAAATTGCTGTTTTGCAGGACTGCAAGTACTTTTTATTTAGGAAACAGTAAAAATATTTTATAAATTGAAAAATAAGATTCTTTCATTACCAAAAATGATATGTCATGCAGTAAATTTAATGAAAAATTATGATGCCATCTCCAAAGGCAACATGAAAAATCCCAGTGTACACCAGTGATTTTGAAAGCCTGTTTAAATGCAATGCGATTCTTTGTCATTCACAAGCCTCATGAAAATATGAAGGTTTTTGCAATGTTTAAAGGAAAGGATGTTCTCACTGTATAGTGAAACAAATTGAGATATGAAACAGGATGAGGTAAGCAATACTTCTGTGTGTTGTGTCAGAGCTGGGTTGGCCACAGTCAGAGTTGCTAACATTTTGTATCCTGCAGTGAATCAGACAGACATGGAAAGTCCATGACCCGAACTGTCTTTAGCGGCCATGCCTTATTCTGTAGACTAAGTGCTGGCACTTGTCCAGCATATAGTGTTCTCCTAAGTGATGAGTCTATGAAGGACCTAGAAACTGGTCACTTTGAGTTCCTATGAAGTGGAAAAAAACTAAGAACATAGGAAAAGAGCTAACCTATTGGTTCCTTCTTGGTGGCTGAATCCTGTATACGCCAGTTGTACCTGCACCCTGCATTCAGAGCCCCAGATGGAATCTGATGAGCTCTTAGAGAAGCCGGACATTATTCAGTACAGCCCAGAATGCAGAAACAGGCAAAACGTGTGCCTTTCTTCTCTAGGTTGTGTTCCTCAGCCAGGTATGATTTAGTAATATTCACTGGAGATATATGTAAAAGGTAACACCCTAGGTTCTAGAGAGGCAACTGTGACAGGGTCCCTGTCCTAAAACAACACACTGACTTTTAGGGAGAAAGTGTAGAGGTAGTTCATCTCAAAATGATGTAGTATTTGCTATATATTCGATATAACTATAAATCCAGTTTTTTGGTAATCTACTTCACTTCCTCAAGAATTGATTTTAAGTCTGGCATTGACTGAATGCTCATTCACTTTTACCTAAAATATCTACCTAATGTTTACTAGAATTACATCATGTGGACACCGTTAATTTCTTTATTTCAGAATTGAGGAAATGGATGCTTGGAGAGAGAAAAATAAATTTCCCCAAATCAGCTAACTGGTCAGTGGCAAGATCATGAAGCAGGCTGCCTTTCCAACCTCAGTCTACCTTATTTATATCTCTTGGCCATTCCC